AGGCACGGTGGCGGAGTGTCGTCGTCGTCATCGTCGTCGTCCTCGTCGACGCTCCCCGCCGCCGCCGCCCGCCGCCGCAGGCGGTGGCGCCGGCCCCAAAAAAGAAATCGTCGCCCCCGCCGCCGCCGCAAGCCGCCGCTGACGCAGGCGCCGGCCCGAGGAAAGGGAGAGAGGAAAAGTAAAGGAAAGGTGTTTGACACCCCCCCCTACGTCACGGGACGGGGGGGGGGTCGAAACTCCCCCCCTCTCCATCCAGGGAGGGGGGGTCCGGTTCCAAACCCCACCCCCCTCCAGGCGACCACAGAACGCGCTCTTTCGGAGGTGGAGGCCCATGTTAAACGCTTGGTAAACAAGGTTGGCCAGCGACAGTCGTAAAGATGGGCCGAAGGGGCAAAGATGCAAGGGTAACCTTGAAAAGGTTGCCCATCCTTACTATGCGAGCTGACTGCACTCGAGTCTCACGTTTTCCTGACTCCTCCGTCATCTGCTACCCTCCGTTCATTCGGGGATGGACGGAACCCCCTTGAGCAAAACGTGGCTCAGTGAGAACGACCTCGGGCCCAAACCTGGCGGGCGCAGGCCTGGAAAATGATGACTGCGGCGCCCTTTCGAGAACCAAAAACGGACAATTCACTAATCGACGTGTCGACGAAGTGGGAGCTCCGTCCGCCCCCGATTCATCCGCCTCTACGCTTTGGTCGGGCGTGACCCCCTACAGGCGGATTTTGGACGACAAATGCAAAACTACCCAGAAAATATTCAAAAATGCCAACATTCCGTTAATCTAATGAATATATATATATATATATATATATGTGGAGAAAAAACAACAACAAAAACGGGAAATCGTCTCCATACTATCATCGTACTATTTTTGAATTTTCCCCCTGTAGAGGGACACGCCCGACTGAACTCTACGCCCTCGGATCCAGAGTGATGGCGGCGGGGCGACGCGCCGCGCGACCCACGAACGCCTCGGCACGCCGAGGGCATCCCGACGCGACAGCCTCGTGGACGGCGACGGAGGGGGTAGCCGTCTCGGGCGGGTGGCAGCGGGGGGTGACCCAAACGGGGGTCAAGAGACACTTACATAATGCGAATCGTGTTTCGACCATGACTCGAATGGCAGACCGATCGCAGCCGTCACGAGGCTCTAGACGAATGCTTACAACGCTTCTGAACCTGTTGGTATCCATAAAACCTCTGCAGCTGCTCTAAATCGCGAGACGACGTCCATAAACCGAGCGGTCGAGAGAAGGGCCCGAAAGGGGCCCGTTTGGGGCCCTTCTGGAACCAGCTGGTGCCAAAAAGGTGCCCCAATGGCCCTTCTCTTCACCTCCATTTGGGTCACCCCTCCTTGCCAGCCGCCCGATCGTCTCCGGAGACCACGCAGACTCTGGCAACAAACTAATCTCTCCTGGTGTTTGTCGGCAGCTCCTGGGGAACGATTAGGGCGACCAAGACCGATGTAGAAGCCACTGACCCAAACCAGCCCGATTAAGCCCAGGATTAAGCTGGATTAGCTGGGACTAAGCCAGGTCGGACGGGATTCGGCTGGATCAACAGGAGTCAAGCGGGGTTAGGCCAGTTTTCGGTCAGGGATATACCAGCGCCGATTCTGAATTTCACCTCCCAAGGGTTGTATCCTAATTGCGGGTGCACCGGCCTGCGTCGCCGCACGCTTCTGCTCCCGACGGCTCCCAGTCCCTCTGTTGGCCTCAGCAGAACTTTCGCCGATATCGAAGGGCGCATCCTCCACTGCCTCGAGGATCAGGTCCCTGCCTTCAGGCAGAAGGCACATGCAGACGTGTCGCGTACATATGGTTGCCGTATGTGTCGTTGTTGACCGCCGCTGTCCACGCGTAGCGTACTCGCATGGTCCCTTTACTCGCAAAGACTATCGCGAGGATCTCCGCCAGATTGCGCATTGATTGGGGTCCCCCTTCCACCACCCGTAATCCCTGTGAACTTACATGGCTTGGCAAAGGGAACAGCCCATGCAGAATCTACACAGGGATCCGTACTGGACGGTACTTGTATGTTCAATGGCTTGCGCAGCAGAACACATGCGCAAATCCACGCACCTGTAGACAACAACCACACATACTCCACTCCAAATCCATGCGTGCTGAGTGCCCTGTCTGACATTCCGGGAGCTACGCAGGCATGCGAAAAAGCACGCGCTTGGAGAGGGACCACCCGCTGCGGCGGGCCAGTCCTGATCGGCCCACGCGCGCACCTGCGCCCAGGAAGGCGTCCTTCCAGGCCACAGCCCGCGCCTGAGGCTCCGAGTCGCCCAAGCGCTTCCTCCTGCTGCTCGTCATGTTCATTATCATCCTCCTCCTCCTCCTCCTGCTCCTCCTCCTCCTCCTCCTCTGGGATCAGAAGGAGTGCCATTCCAACCTTCACGAGCACCGCCGCAAGGATGGGAGAGCCCATGTGGCCCACCCGCCTCGACAGGGTTACTATGCCTCCCCCTCCCCTCCAGAACAAAGGAAGA